TTAAGGCAGATGTTGCACACTTTTGCAGATGTTTCGCCCGCGGTACGCCGCAGTAAGCTTACCTTTTAGAAGCTACACCGCAGAAGCTGCAACAGCAAGCAATATCCTTTCTTCTTACTGTAACACATTGTTTTTAGCATCAAAGTATTACACATTTTCTCTTCGTTATGACGACTGTTTATTAGTAGCAGACGACTAGACTGGTACACAAGTTCTGCTCATGAAGAAAGTTTATCTATAGGGGGCAACATAGTAAGCAATTACTGTTTAGTTTAGCTTTCCTTAGAGGGAAACAGCAGTGGCAGTTGCTATGCTCTAGCTGCAGCCTTTACATGTGGGTTTTGAACAATGCAGTAACATTTATTTTTTCGTTTCTATATAAAAGTGTATTCATTTTACAGCTCTTTCCGTAGTGGCTTGCGTTATGTTTCAATCGGCACGCTGCTGCCGTGCTTAGACAGAAACATGATGGGCGATCGGCGGTTTCAGAAGCTGTAGTTGCAGTGTACTTTCTACCTTCATGCGCCTTGTTTTTCTTTTATTATCTTAAGCTGTAGTTGCATTATAATTTCTGCCTTTGTTTTTTTGGTTATGTTGCAATCGCCATACAGGGTACTGCGGCGAAGCCAGTAGAAGAGGGCACAGAGGCACGTGCGTCCTGTTCTTGTTAGAAAGCAACAGAGAATCTGTTGGCTAAAAAGATGCAACATATGATACGGGTATGTTTGAAACTACCTTTCCTCTCGATAAACCAAGCATTTTTATTGTTTTGCTTTCTGCATTCTTCGTGCTGATCAGGCAGACATCAGATGCAGTTAGGATGTTCTCAGTTCTGTTGAAATTGGTAGGGAACCAAACAGCTTTATTTGTATTATTCTTTTTACTGGTAGTTGAAATAACCCTTTTTTCAACTCTCTGCAGTAGCAGCAAGCAGCAGCTCAATGCTGTACAACTACAATGGCAGCACGCGAATGCATGCNAACTCTCTGCAGTAGCAGCAAGCAGCAGCTCAATGCTGTACAACTACAATGGCAGCACGCGAATGCATGCATGCACAGCCCCGGCCGTGGGGGTCGAGGATCATTCATGTATGTGAATTTCATCTTTTTAGGAATTGTTTATATTGCAGAGAGAAATTACTTTCTATTGTCAGCACATTCAACAGAAGGGGAAGTTCTGCCTGCTGCTCCGTCGCCGTGCCCTCTCAGCTCGGGAGCGAAAATGGTATGAGTTTGCATTTTTTTGTCCTTTTTCCTCTGTCTTTGTTCTTTAAACACTTCTGCATTGCTTTTTTTCTGTTTTACAAATCCTCCTCTTCTGCACCTCCTCTGAAGTGCTGCCGCTCACGGCGCCCGCCTCAGCGACCGGCGTTCAACTCCCCTCTGGCTGCTGCTGCAGTTGTGTACTGTTTCTTCATCACTGCTTTTCTCGTATTATGCAGCAGATGTTTTGCTGTGAAAATGGGTTTGCAGGAGAATGCATGCAGCAAACGCAAACCAGCAGCTCAACTGACTAAAGATCACGTGCAGGGTGAAAGCACGGAGAAGGAGCAACAAGAAACAGAAACTCCTCTCGACCTGAAGGAGGCCGATGCAGACACCTTGAAAAACAGACGGTAAATTCAAATGAAGAAGTTTCTGCCACTGCTACANAGGAGGCCGATGCAGACACCTTGAAAAACAGACGGTAAATTCAAATGAAGAAGTTTCTGCCACTGCTACAGCAGTAGCACTGGTGCACTGGTGCTGCAGCAGCAGATGTATGCAACAGCAGCTGAGTGCAGCAGGCTCCAGCTTATTGGGACTGCTGTAGCACAGGTCCTGCTGCAGTGTTGCTGCTCTTTGTTTGCCTGCAGCCGCCTAAAGATAGTGCGGACGCATGCGCCTCCTGTAGCTGTCTGCTCGGAGCCTCTGGCTACGAAGGAAGGCGCAACAGAAAGCAAAGCGCAGTTGGTGAGATCCCTAGTAGAATTGCAGAAAATGTGTTCTTTTGTTTGTGCGTATATGCATCTTCATTTGATGCTGCTGCGTATTTTATTCTGCGTGCGGCTGCAGACACCCGAACCGACCCCGCAGGCGGCAGAATCCCCTGCAGCAGCGGCTGCAGCACCTGCTGCAGCCGCTGCTGCAGAACCTGCTGCAACAACTGCTGCAACAACTGCTGCAGCAACTGCTGCAGCAGATGGTGCTGCTGCCGCACCTGATGCTGGACAGACGGCGCCAGCTGCCCCTGTAGCAGAGGGAGCAGGCGCATCCACAGGCACGGAAACCGCCTCTGCTGCTGATGCTGCTGGTGGCGCTGCAGCTGACGCAGCTGCGGCAGCTGCTCCCAACGGAAACGCAGCAGCAGGCAATGGCAGCAGCAGCAGCAGCAACGGCAGTGGCGGTGGCGGCCTGTTTGGGTCTGTGTTGAAAGGGACGTCGGCGTTTGTCAGCCCCTTCGGTTCTCTCGTGAGACACAATGACAAGTTTCCCCTTTCTCTTTTTTTTTGTTTTAACTCTTTTGTTTGTCCCACACCAGTGCTGCTGCTGCTGTTTGCATGCGGCGCAGGGAGCAGCAGGCAGCTCCTTCCTGCTGCCTTCTGCTGGAGCTTCTGAGGGCTCATCGCTATTCAAAGGCACAGGGGCGGCCCCGGCAGCCGAAGCAGAAGACGCAGACGTACCCCCGCCGGAGGAACCCACCGTCGTCACAACCAGTAAGAAACACTTGCACATGCAGCAGCAGCAGGCACAGAAGCAACAGCTAGACTATCAGCAGCAGCACTGCTGCAGCACTAGTAACAGCAGCTCGTGCTGCCACTGACTGACTGGCTTGTAGGGAGCTGGTATCTTTTCTTGTTTTGTTTTTCTTGTTTTCGTGTTCTGTTTTCAGCCGTTGACAGCAAAGAGGAAGTTATTTTCACAGACGTGAGGAGTTTTTCCATCGCTGGTTTCGTCGTTTCCCTTTTTGTGTAGTTTGTTTCCTGTTTTCAGTCTTTTCCTTCGTTTATATTTTATGCATTGGGTTTTGTTTCTCTTGTTTTCTTCTCTTGTCTTTGCCTGTGCTGCGATATGCTGTATTGGATATGGTTCTTCTGCTTCTATTCTCTTAGTTGCAAACGTTTGCGTCTGTGTACGAATTCAGCGCGACTGCCGCATGCAGTGCTTCGA